TTGACTTGACTTGACTAGATCAAGTCAAGAGGCACAAAAGAACCAGTATCTTTCTTAAGGCGATTGGTAAATGCGTTGTACCATGGTTAATATATCCAATCGCAATCGGTAGGTTAACAAGCCCGGGGTTCAGTAACTAGAACGTTGGATATATAACCAACAGAACGCAGGTTCAAGCCCCACTGACTACAAATCTTCTTTTTTGGTAAGGCGGACTAACGACAGCCAACAAGCCAGAAATGGCCAGCCCAGCCTCACTTGTCTTTCTCAGTAGTTGCCCTGTGCATTCACCGTGCGACTGCCTACAAGACTCTGGAATAGGTATCGCAATGCAATCAGTGAACTCGTAAACCATAATTAAAGCTATTCGAATTGTTTAACGTGGACTTGGTTGCTGATTCAAAATAGCGTGGTTTAAAGTTTCCATTTTTTTAAATTTCGTTGTTTATGCTCTGGGAACTGAGTTTTTTTATCGGTTATCGTGAGGCTTTGTTTTGATCACCTGAAAATGGCATGATAAGGGCTTCATTCTGTGTAATTGAGGACAAAGACCGGGCCTTGAAAAACAAACAATAGTTCATTTGCCTAAAACGAAAGCAAAATCACTCAATAAAGAGGCCTCGAAAACATCAAGATGACAAGGTGGAGGTTTACAGGCGAAAGTTCTGCGCGGGCAAATATTATGGAAAGGAAAATCAAAATAGTCTAACGTCAAAAGTGGTCAAGGAGTTCAACAATCAGGTAAGTGGTTTGTTGACGTCGATTATTCCCTATTCTTAGCAGTTAGGACACACCATTGGCCAATCGACCTTCCAAAATACGCCGTCCGTTCCGACTTTTGGCTCACCGATAGCAAGAGTCTGCAAAAGACAACATATTTAACATTAAAGTAAAATAAACCATCGCAGTAATTGTATGTTCTCAAGGAGCATCAGGTACCCAGCCACCGAGCACAAAGCAAGCGGCCACATGAACGTCGTGTTCACTGATTACTGGCCGATGACGGTTAAGAAGCCAGAAATTGCCATTCCGGTCTCCCTTGTCTTTGTCGGTTCCACTCCATATATACATGGCAGGTGGTCACCCGTTTCGGGACCTCTAGCCACCATATGAACTTTGTTTAGTTCGGAAGC